CGCGGGGGATGTGAGAGGGAGAAGGTGGGGAGGCCTGCGAGGTAAAGAAGAGGTCGGACGCCATGCAGGAGGTAGGGAGGCGCGGGGGATGTGAGAGGGAGAAGGTGGGGAGGCTTGCGAGCGGTAATAGGAGGTCGGACGCCATGCAGGAGGTAGGGAGGCGCGGGGGATGTGAGAGGGAGAAGGTGGGGAGGCCTGCGAGGTAATAGAAGAGGTCGGACGCCATGCAGGAGGTAGGGAGGCGCGGGGGATGTGAGAGGAAGAGGTGGGGAGGCCAGCGAGGTAATAGAAGAGGTCGGACGCCATGCAGGAGGTAGGGAGGCGCGGGGGTGTGAGAGGAGAAGGGGGGAGGCCAGCGAGGTAATAGAAGAGTCGTCGGACGCCATGCAGGAGGTAGGGAGGCGCGGGGGGTGTGAGAGGGAGGAAGGTGGGAGGCCTGCGAGGTAATAGAAGAGGTCGGACGCCATGCAGGAGGTAGGGAGGCGCGGGGGGTGTGAGAGGGAGAAGGTGGGGAGGCCTGCGAGGTAATAGAAGAGGTCGGACGCCATGCAGGAGGTAGGGAGGCGCGGGGGTGTGAGAGGAGAAGGTGGGAGGCTTGCGAGGTAATAGAAGAGGTCGGACCATGCAGGAGGTAGGGAGGCGCGGGGGATGTGAGAGGGAGAAGGTGGGGAGGCCTGCGAGGTAATAGAAGAGGTCGGACGCCATGCAGAGGTAGGGAGGCGCGGGGGATGTGAGAGGAAGAGGTGGGGAGGCCTGCGAGGTAATAGAAGAGGTGACGCCATGCAGGAGGTAGGAGGCGCGGGGAGGGTGTGAGAGGAGAAGGTGGGAGGCCTGCGAGGTAATAGAGCAGGTCGGACGCCATGCAGGAGGTAGGGAGCGCGGGGGGTGTGAGAGGGAGAAGGTGGGGAGGCCTGCGAGGGTAATAGAAGAGGTCGGACGCCATGCAGGAGGTAGAGGAGGCGCGGGGGGTGTGAGAGGAAGAAGGTGGGGAGGCTTGCGAGGTAATAGAAGAGGTCGGACGCCATGCAGGAGGTAGGGAGGCGCGGGGGATGTGAGAGGGAGAAGGTGGGGAGGCCTGCGAGGTAATAGAAGAGGTCGGACGCCATGCAGGAGGTAGGGAGGCGCGGGGGATGTGAGAGGGAGAAGGTGGGGAGGCCAGCGAGGTAATAGAAGAGGTCGGACGCCATGCAGGAGGTAGGGAGGCGCGGGGATGTGAGAGGGAGAAGGTGGGGAGGCCTGCGAGGTAATAGAAGAGGTCGGACGCCATGCAGGAGGTAGGGAGGCGCGGGGGATGTGAGAGGGAGAAGGTGGGGAGGCCTGCGAGGTAATAGAAGAGGTCGGACGCCATGGCAGGAGGTAGGGAGGCGCGGGGGTGTGAGAGGGAGAAGGTGGGGAGGCCTGCGAGGTAATAGAAGAGGTCGGACGCCATGCAGGAGGTAGGGAGGCGCGGGGGGTGTGAGAGGAGAAGGTGGGGAGGCTTGCGAGGTAATAGAAGAGGTCGGACGCCATGCAGGAGGTAGGGAGGCGCGGGGGATGTGAGAGGGAAAGGTGGGGAGGCCTGCGAGGTAATAGAAGAGGTCGGACGCCATGCAGGAGGTAGGGAGGCGCGGGGGATGTGAGAGGAAGAAGGTGGGGAGGCCTGCGAGGTAATAGAAGAGGTCGGACGCCATGCAGGAGGTAGGGAGGCGCGGGGGATGTGAGAGGGAGAAGGTGGGGAGGCCTGCGAGGTAATAGAAGAGGTCGGACGCCATGCAGGAGGTAGGGAGGCGCGGGGGATGTGAGAGGGAGAAGGTGGGGAGGCCTGCGAGGTAATAGAAGAGGTCGCGCCGGAATGCAGGAGGTAGGAGGCGCGGGGGATGTGAGAGGGAGAAGGTGGGGAGGCCTGCGAGGTAATAGAAGAGGTCGGACGCCATGCAGGAGGTAGGGAGGCGCGGGGGATGTGAGAGGAGAGGGTGGGGAGGCCTGCGAGGTAATAGAAGAGGTCGGACGCCATGCAGGAGTAGGGAGGCGCGGGGGATGTGAGAGGGAGAAGGTGGGGAGGCTTGCGAGGTAATAGAAGAGGTCGGACGCCATGCAGGAGGTAGGGAGGCGCAGGGGATGTGAGAGGAAGAGGGTGGGGAGGCCTGCGAGGTAATAGAAGAGGTCGGACGCCATGCAGGAGGTAGGGAGGCGCGGGGGATGTGAGAGGGAGAAGGTGGGGAGGCCTGCGAGGTAATAGAAGAGGTCGGACGCCATGCAGGAGGTAGGGAGGCGCAGGGGATGTGAGAGGAAGAGGGTGGGGAGGCCTGCGAGGTAATAGAAGAGGTCGGACGCCATGCAGGAGGTAGGGAGGCGCGGGGATGTGAGAGGGAGAAGGTGGGGAGGCCTGCGAGGTAATAGAAGAGGTCGGCCGGAATGCGGGAGGTAGGGAGGCGCGGGGGATGTGAGAGGAGAAGGTGGGAGGCCTGCGAGGTAATAGAAGAGGTCGGACGCCATGCAAGGAGGTAGGGAGGCGCGGGGGATGTGAGAGGGAGAAGGTGGGGAGGCCTGCGAGGTAATAAGAAGAGGTCGGACGCCATGCAGGAGGTAGGGAGGCGCGGGGGATGTGAGAGGGAGAAGGTGGGGAGGCCTGCGAGGTAATAGAAGAGGTCGGCCGGAATGCAGGAGGTAGGGAGGCGCGGGGGATGTGAGAGGAAGAGAAGGTGGGGAGGCTGCGAGGTAATAGAAGAGGTCGGACGCCATGCAGGAGGTAGGGAGGCGCGGGGGATGTGAGAGGAGAAGGTGGGGAGGCCTGCGAGGTAATAGAAGAGGTCGGCCGGAATGCAGGAGGTAGGGAGGCGCGGGGGATGTGAAGAAGAGGGTGGGGAGGCCTGCGAGAAAATAGAAGAGGTCGGACGCCATGCAGGAGGTAGGGGAGGCGCGGGGGATGTGAGAGGGAGAAGGTGGAGAGGCCTGCGAGGTAATAGAAGAGGTCGGACGCCATGCAGGAGGTAGGGAGGCGCGGGGGATGTGAGAGGGAGAAGGTGGGGAGGCTGCGAGGTAATAGAAGAGGTCGGACGCCATGCAGGAGGTAGGGAGGCGCGGGGGATGTGAGAGGGAGAAGGTGGGGAGGCCTGCGAGGTAATAGAAGAGGTCGGACGCCATGCAGGAGGTAGGGAGGCGCGGGGGATGTGAGAGGGAAGAAGGTGGGGAGGCCTGCGAGTAATAGAAGAGGTCGGACGCCATGCAGGAGGTAGGGAGGCGCGGGGATGTGAGAGGAAGAAGGTGGGGAGGCCTGCGAGGTAATAGAAGAGGTCGGCCATGCAGGAGGTAGGGAGGCGCGGGGATGTGAGAGGGAGAAGGTGGGGAGGCTGCGAGGTAATAGAAGAGGTCGGACCCATGCAGGAGGTAGGAGGAGGCGCGGGGGATGTGAGAGGAAGAAGGTGGGAGAGGCCTGCGAGG